ATCTTCAGGATTTTTGCTCCGTAACTGCCCTGCACTGAAAGGAGAGGGGAAACATCCCAGCGCTGGGTAGTTACGGAGCTCAAATCTTGAAGATTTGAGGTCTGTTCCTTCCCACCACTGCGTCCCCTCCACTTGCAGCCTTCCCTGCCAGCTTCCAATGTGGAAGCCGGCAGAGAAGTTTGGAAATGGTGATCACATGATTGCAGGCCACTTGGCAACTGGTTGTAAATGTGAGCCAGTTGCCAAGCACCTGAAATGCAGCCATGTGACTGCGGGGGGTGGGTAGGGGTGACATGATATTTTACGATGGCCAGACGTGCAACATTTTACGACAGCTGGAAGTGTTTTAAGGGTCGTAAAGCACCCTTTCTGAGGTTGTCATAATTTTGAACTGTCATTAAACAGACAGTCATTAAGCAAGGACTACCTGTACTTCTCTTGAATTTGGTGATGAATCATTGATGAGTGTTCTTTGAGTATGATTTTCAAGCTAATTAATTTGTCATGCCATCCATCCCGCATTTAAATAATTTGCCAATCAGCAAGCCATAGGTACTTTCAATTCCCACAATTTATGATGGAAGTTACAATCAAAAAAGGGATGGGGTTAGTCTGGCTAGATCTGTTCTTAACAAATCCATGACAACTTCTGAAATTACTGCATTTTTTCAAGGTGTTTTGCAGACTTACATTTTTAGGATTCTCTAAAATCTTCCCAGATATTAATGTCAGACTGATTGATCTATAATCTCCTGGATCTTCCTCTTCCCTGCCCCTGCTTTTTGTAGATGAGATCAGATTTTCTCTCTTTCAGTCATCTAGTCCTTCACTGTTCTTCCAGAATACCTCAAAGGTAATGCATAGATATTACTTTAGTATCCTTTAAACTCATTCAAAATAAAGCAATATTCCTTTATCGTGTTTCTATCAGCCTCAAGGTTTAGCCCTTCATCTTGTCTTTCATTATTTCTTAGTAGAATGCATACTTCGTTGTTGAAGAATACTGAACCAGAGTAGGAGTTTGGGAGCTCTATCATTTCTTTGTTTCCTGTTACTCTTTTATGTTTTTTACTGAGCAGTGGAGCTTTTGTTTTCTTTTGAACATATCTGAAAAGGCTTTTTTTGTTATTAGCATTCTTTACTAGTCTCGGTGCATTCTGAACTTTCACTTTCCTGACACCAGTTCTACAGTTCCCTGTTTGTATTTTTCCTTTGTGATTTGCCCCTGCTTCCATTTTCGGTATGTATCCTTTCCCCCTGAACTTCCCCAAGCTTTTTGCATAGCTACATTGGTTTCTTTCACAGTGCTCCGTTTTTCTTTCTCATTGGAATTTTTGGTGATAGTTTGTGTTTTTGTGTTTTTGATATATCCTACTTTAGAAACTTGTATCCATCTTGAGTCTCTTTTCCTCTTAGCTTCACCTGCTGTGGGATCCTACTTATCATTGCCTTGAGTTTATTAACATTTGTTTTTCTGAAGTCCAAGATGAATGTTTGACTATGCTCAGTTTTAGTTTTCCCTAATTGTAAGGAGTCCAGAATTACATGATTCCCACCTGCTCCTTCTACTTTCTTTTCTAAGCCTCCCCTGTTGATTAGTATGAAGTCAAGAATCCTCTTGTGCTTTTCTCAACCTTCTGTGGGAAAAAATTGTCATAAAGACAAGTGTGGAATTTCTTCCCAACTGACGTCAGGTAGTTAAAGTCTCCCCTCACTACAACTTCACTTTAGAAGATCTGGCGTTTGCTTCTGGGCAGCTTCATCCTCTTTGGTTGGGAGAGTACATACCAATAGCTGTGCTGTTTTTATTTGTTCCTCCACGAATTTTAAATCCCGATGCTTTCTATAACATTGCCAAGTTCATTATGTAGACTTCTAAGCAGGAATGTTTAACGTACAGTGTAACTCTTACTTCCTTTCTGTTGCTTCAGTTCTTTTTGAACAAAGTGTATTCTTCAATCGCTATACTCCAATGCTGGGAGTCTTTTTAGCTGATCTCCATTATACCTGCTAAATGATATATTTTCTTCTGTACTACATGCTCAAGCTCCTCCTCAAAATAAAGATGGAATTATTTTAAAATTCATAGAAATAAATTCTATGAAAACTGTAGAGAACGGTTGATAATTAACTAAGATAAATGCATTGCCAGAGTATTCTAGGTTGTAGCCATGAACCATATCATACTGTTTTTGGAAGATTTTAAAAATTATTCTGGGAATAAGAGGCTTTCTTCCTTTATTGGCTTTCCTGCATGGCATTTTTGCCTGATTATAGCGAGGAAAAATATTGTTTTTGAAAAAGGAACAGCCATGCATCTTATAGTTTTGATGATTTTGTGAAACTAAAATTTGGAATAGAGTTGAAGAACAGCTTAAACCTATGGTTTAACTTGAATGCAATATGATAATATGTTTTTCCTTACCTTTTTAGCTTTGGGGTGTTATTAAACAAGGATATAGGTGCAAAGGTAACCAACTTTTTGTTTTAGTTAAATCATCTTTTAAATAAATGGTCTTAGATTTTCCTAAGAAAAATAAATCATCTGATAAAGAGCAGCAGAGTTTACCATTACAATATCCGTAATAGTGCATTGTGGCACTTTTTTTTTTTTTTTTTGAACAGATTTAAAATTACCTTACAAATAAGATCCTTAGCACAAACAACCTAGAAACTGAAAAAATGTCCTATCTATATATTCCTTTATTGCTTTATTTGTTTCCCGGGTAACTGCAAAATCTGTGAAGAAACAATCAGGGGAAAATATATAGAGATTGTCACTTCAGTTCATGTTCATCTTAGGTCATTAACTGGCAGGTGATTTTATTAAAAGACGTAATTTGGCTTTCAGTTAAGGAGCAGTGCTGTGTAATACTGGTCTATGTTTTGAATGCTTAAAAGTATACTTTAACTGCACTAAAAGTATGAATGTAGCATAACATGCAGCATAGCAAAGGAAAGTAGGTGACATTGCTGTTCGGTATACATATAATAGTAAGATTAAGCTACTTTGGGGCTTGTCTCTGGTATACCCTGCATAGGCTTGAGTTACATTTATCACGGTGTAGCATTTTCTGGGACTTTTGCAAAATTAAAAAAGTAGTAGGAAAGGAGTTTGGGATAGAAGAAGAATTAGTATGTTAATAAATCTGTTTTTACTTTTGGCACTAAGCCAGTGAGCTGACTTTGTTTTTATTTGCTTGAAGACTGTGGAATGAACTGTCATAAGCAATGCAAAGATCTGGTTGTATTTGAATGTAAGAGAAGACCCAAAGTGACAGCTGTGGATAACAGTCCAGCATCAGCTCTTGCATCTAGCCTCTGTCCCATGGGACTTAAAGAGCACATGCATGGTAAGTTCAGTTTAATGAAGCATTCTGATGTCATTTAATGTTACTAAATTGTTTTTCTATGTTTTTCTTAAGAGTAACGATAGTTAAAGTCAGCTAGGTAGGAATGATTTTCAAAGTGTCCTTCCACTGTCAACACATCTGGAAATTCCATCCACCCCTAAAAAACTTGTCAGGTCTTCAGAAGACATACATACTTAGAGAACAAATGTTATGTGTAATCTTGAACACATAACATTTGTTATGGATGGTCACCCTTTCTATGCACTATGTTAGTTTTTGAAGCCAACACAACTAATTCTGAGTACCAAACTGAGTAAGTAGTATGTAGAACTGCATAACAGGGCAGGGCAGGCAAATGCTCCTTCCAATATTTCAGCGTAATGACAATGTTAGTAATTAAAATATATTATTTGTAATTAACTTCTGAATTCTAGCTAGAATTCACACAGCTTTACAAAGTTGTGTACAGTTTGTTTTTTATATCTTATGTATAATATGTACCTCAACTCAGAGAAATATTCTTTAGAGATTCATAGTACTATTGAACCCAACTATTGGGTTGATGGAGGTTTGATGGAAAAATCCTTCTGGACACACAGCTTAGTTTGCTAGCACTTTATCAGGAGGTCTTTATGATGTACATATTTTAGATGGTAGTCCTTTCTAATTCTCATACATTTTTCCCCCAAGCTGAAATGTTTATTTAAGGATACCGTCCATCCCTACGTCCAATTTTTGTTCAGATGTCACACTTTCTTTCCAACCTTGGCTTTGACTCCTTTTCCAGACCGTAGAGCTGCCTTTCCCAGCCTGATATTCTCTGTCATGTTTTGGATGTATTTGGAGAAGTCCAGCATACCTGAAGAACAGTAGTTAAGGAGAAGTTGCTGCTGAAATTTTTGAGTTGATACTTCAAGTATTAAAGGCTTTTTGCTTAATATTGTGGACCAGTATCTGTGATGGGCAAACTGAGCATGGTCAGAGAAAAGAAGGTGCCTTATACTGACTTAGACCTTTAATCTGTCTAGTTTAGCCTTCCTAACCCAGGCATTCTCCATAGGTATAAACTTTTGCACCCAGCATGCTCAGCTATAGCCTGGGCTGTGAGTTCTGGGACTGATGTCTCCGTACAACTTTTGGAAGGGCTGACCCAATTCAGTGCAGCCTATTCTGGCAGGAGATTGGGGTGTCAGGCATGTTTTTCAGCTCTTTCTGGAGATTTCAGAAACTGAGTCTGATTTTTGCCATGTGTATATGTGAACCCAAGTAATTGTTGTTTGTAAACCATAGTTAATACCTTGATAAGATGTGTGATCTTAATCACTGTTGCTCATTAAGAAATTGGTTAAAATAAACCATGGCTTAATGTCATCTGTGATCTGAGCTATTAGCCTTTATCAATGATCATTATGAGCATGTTATTATATTCCATTATGACTTTTCAGTTGTAAATCTTGCATATTCTTTTAAAAAATTAGCAGTAGGATATAAATGTTTCTCACCAAAAGCAGCCTGAATTGTAGGCCCAGTATTGTTAATGTAATGGACAAATTGCATGATGAAATTTGTAATGCTAGGAATAAAGTTAAGGAAATACAGTATATAGTTCTCTCTAGATATTTCTCTTACTCTTTTCACTGAGCATTCCAGAATATTGCGTAGTTCATTATTCTCCCCAGTGCTCAATGGTTGTGTTCTGTGTTTTTCCCCACCTTAGGGCTGGAGGAGGGAGGATTTCCATTTCCTAATGGCGAGGTGGTTGAACATAATGAAGGCAGCAAAGATAGAACTATTATGCTTATGGGAGCATCAGCTCAGAAGATCTCAGTAAGGCTAAAGCCATCTGTGGTACACAAGAGTACACAAACTGATATAATGATGGCACATGGTAATGAACTATCCAATCTACAAAGAGAGTCAGGAACATCATCCGAAAATAGTTTTCTCCAGCCAACTCCTGTGTTTCCATGTTCAAGTCCAGTTCTTGGCCGTAAAAAAGCGTATGTGAAATGGGAAAACAAGGATTGCAGTCAAAAAGTGAAGGAAGATCCACAAACACTAAAACCCACCTATCAGGAACTAGAAAAGGTATGAAACAGCTTTGAAAACTGTACAGAATAACTAAGAGTATGCAGAGACCACATAAACTCTGTTGATCTGAGTTTGAAGAATGTAAACAACAGTACTTTTTTTTCATAGAAAGAAATTTTCAGACACAGTGGTCCTTTATGACAACTGTAACAAGCCTATCACATTTTACTGAAATAAGTGCAAAGATTCAGAAGTTAGACTCCTTGAAAATCTGGTTTTTAAATGCCTATTCAAATTAAAAATAATATTTGCAGAAATAATAGTCTCTTCTCCATGGAAGAGGCATAAAAACTAGCCAAAGGTGATTTATTAAAGAGGATGGTATCATAAGGAGGGTTGTTGCTTCTGTCTGAATCTGACAGAATGATTTGGGGAGATGGAGAAATGGAATTAAAGGCATTAAACCATAGTATGTAAGGTTGTTGGTCATTATCTACTCTGGTAAATGTGATGCTATATGTTTAGACTTAAGGTGGGTGTTGTAGCTGTGATGAGACCCATTCATGGAGGTTGTGAAATTGAAGGGCTGAAGTTTAGAGCTTATCCATCTAGAGCTTATCCAAGATTTTCTTGTCACCAGAAAAGAATGCAAACTTCTGCTCAAAGCAGTTTCTTAAACTGATTGAGTCTCAGAATTTGGGATGTATTTATAGCCAGGTAAGATATTATTTTGGTGGTGTACATGTAACTCCTAGAAACCAGCAGAGTATTGTTTTAAGTCCTTATGAGAGATAAGCCATTTGTCCTCTCAGATAAATGGTTGAAGGGTTGCTGTTGGTCTGACAAAGTAAAAAGCAGTTGCGCTCAGAGATGGAAATGGCAAGATTGGGTGATAAGAGGATTCTTGAAGCTAATTTGTATAGATATTTTTTTCAGAACCCTGTAATATTTCTTTTGGAGTGGAATATAAGTTGTGTCTAAGCTAGGTGGCTTTTTTTAATTCAAGGTCCATTCCCAATGAATAACATGCCCTGATTACTTGGTGGCCTTACACTTGAACCACTTGATGGATATACTTGGACATGCACCCATCTAATAAAAATAAAAATTCTCAAATTCCCAAAAAAGCAAATGATTTCACAACAGATTAAACTTTTACAGTGGCAGTTGTTTTGTTAACAGTAAAAGAAATGGAGGTAAAAATGAATTATGCAAAACAAAACAAAAATTGAATTTGCAAATAAACCAGGGAAATGGTTGGCATATAAATTGAGGAAAGAAAAAGAGAAAAAAAATGGTAAAAACTACAAGAAGGAAATACCATTATAATTGATAATTTAAAGATGCAAAAAATACTTCATCAATATTACTCTAAAACAAAACAAAAATTGAATTTGCAAATAAACCAGGGAAATGGTTGGCATATAAATTGAGGAAAGAAAAAGAGAAAAAAAATGGTAAAAACTACAAGAAGGAAATACCATTATAATTGATAATTTAAAGATGCAAAAAATACTTCATCAATATTACTCTAAATTCTATAAAGGAGAAGAAATTTCCATGGCAAATGTTAAAGAAACAAAATCTACCGAAGATTACCGAAAAACAGAAACAATTAATGAATGGGCCTTTAACAATAAGGGAAGTTTGTGAAGTTATAAAAAAGGTTAAAATAGGGAAGGTGCCTGGACCATGGTTTACCACCTCTTACTATAAACATTTTGAAGATGAACCACTACAACCGTTGCAACACACGATGAACTCTCTTTTACAGACTGGAATAATACCAGACAGTTGGATAGAGGCCCATATAGCATTAATACCTAAAGAAGGACAAGATTTGACCTCACCAAAAAATTTATTGTTCAATATCATTACTGAATAATAAGTAATTTACGATGATTTTATCTGACAGAATGAAAATGGTTTTACAGAACTTTATTCATAAAGAGCAGTGTAGGTTTTTACCTAAAAGACAGCTGAGGGACAATATTAGTAATGTATTGGATATTTTGGAATACTTGAAACAACATAATGAAAAACAAGTAGCATTGATTTTTCTTGATGCAGAAAAGGCCTTTGAGAATTTGAGCTGGACTTTCTTGTTTAAAATTTTTGAGGATATGGACTTTGGCAGAAATTTTATCAAATGAGTAAAATCAGTTTACATTTCACAAAAGCGCAGATAACTGTGAATGGGGAATTAACAAAACCTTGTGAGATACAGAAAGGAGCTAGACAAGGATGCCCATTGTCGCCATTGCTATTTATTTTAGCTTTGGAAAAATTGAATAGAGATATAAGGCGAGATGAGAGAATTGCTGGAATGAAGATTAAAAGAGAAACTTATAAATTATGGGCATTTGCTGATGACCTGGTAATAATCTTGGAAGATCCTCTGGAAGGAATAGAAATATTAATGGAAAAACTAAAGGACTTTGAGGTATTAACTGGCTTTAAAATTAACAAACAAAAGACGATATTAACAAAAAATATTAATATCAAAAAACAAAAGGAATTGATGGAAAAGACTGGTTTTAAGATTGAGAAAAGAGTAAATTATTGGGTATCATTATGCCTAATATGAATTGTGTGTTATGTCAGAATAATTATGTTAAGATGTGGAATGAAATCAAGAAGGACATGTTAAGATGGGAGAATTTACCATTGTCATTGTTGGGGAGAATTTCTTTGATAAAAATGAATGTTTTGCCAAGAATATTGTTTTTGTTTCAAACAATACCTATTTTGACAACTGATGTATCATTTAAACAATGGCAGAAAGATAAGTTTGGCAAGGGAAAAAAACAAGGGTTAAATATAAAATACTTCAAGATGTAAAGGAATGAGGAGGATTGGGACTGCATGATTTGAAATTGTATTTTGCAGCCTGCTGCTTATTCTGGATGAAAGAGTGGGTTCTGCTGAGAAATTAGAGGATCTTAGAAGGGCATGATCTGAGGTTTGGATGGCATGGTTTTCTATGGTATGATAAAGCTAAGGTTAATGTAGATTTTAAGAATCATATTGACAATATGGAACAGATATAAATCAGACTGTGTCGTAAAATGCCTTTATGGGCCTCAGCCCAAGAAGCATTAAATAGGAAAGAAACACTAGGTAAAGAAAAATGTTAACTTATCGAGAGTTGTTAGAAAAGGAACATGGAGAATATAAGATGAAATCAAGAGAGCAACTGGCTGCAGAGGTATTTAGTTTTAAACAGTTTTTGTATGCACACTTAAGAGAAAGGTTTAAGTAGATACTAGGACATTTGGAATTGAGCAGCAGAAGACAGAATTTGAAGTTGAACTATGCACAAATGATGAACATGTATAAACTTTTATTGAAATTTGAAATGGAAGAACAAGTGAAAGATTGTATGATAAAATGGGCTAAGGATAAAATGGACATAACATTGATGGAACAGTGGGAAAATATGTGATTAAAAGGATTGAAATTACATTATGTTATAACTTAAAACAGATTTTTTAATAAAATGATGTACCATGGTATATGACTCCAGAAAAATTGTCTAGAATGTATAAAGGTACTTTAAATTTATGTTGGAAATGTGGACAACAGGAAGGGTCACTTTATCATGCCTCATGCACTTGTAAAAAAGGCAGCAATTTTGGGGTTCAAATACATATAATGATACAAAGAATTTTAAAGATTGACATTCAACTGAAACTAGAACTTTTCTTGCTGGGATTAATAGACAGTCAATTAGAAAACATTATTTTTATATATGATTACTGCTGCAAAACTATTATATGCACAAAAATGAAGAGACTCTGAAATAGCCACATCAGATGATTGGTTGGTAAAGATGACAGAACTAGCGGAGATGGCAAAATTAACTTGTTTGATTAGAGAAAGATCAAAAACTACATTTACTAATGATTGGAAACCCCTTATGGACTTTTTTCTGGAAAAAGAGAAAAATGAACCTGTGATTTATGGGTTTGAAGATTAGAAAGGGTAGCTTATGGAAAGAAGGAAATTATAGTATAACCTTAGAGAGGGTAAAATATAAATCGGTCTATAACCGCCATCAAGAAGATTGGAAGCCATTTATTTAGAACCCCTCTCCTCTCCTCTCCTCTCCTCTCCTCTCCTCTCCCCTCCCCTCCTTTTTCTTTTTCTTTTTCTATATTTATTTTTCACTTATTATTTTTCTTTATTCTTCTTTAATTCGAAACTTGTCCTGTTATTCTGTTGCAAAACTTCTTCAATAAACATTATTAAAAAAAGGAAGTGTGTTAGCCATAGCATAGCAGCAATTTATGTGTAAAGACAATCTGGAAATATATTGCTATCCTGAATGTACTGCATTATTAAGAAATAAAATTTCCCCACATTTAGGGCCCAGCCTTTGAAAATTATTCAATACATACCAAGATGTTAAACAAATTAGTGCCTACTTGAAAAATAACTTTCTTACTGTTTCACTGGATTCAGGGCTGCTTAGCATATCAGGATTTCCCAGCAAAGCAGTGTTAACCATGAGTTACATTCACATGTAAAAAAATGAATATTCTTGAGAAAATTGAAACTATTACATATCCTGCTTGTAGTATGGCAGCCTATATTGTTCTTCAAGGCTAGATTGCATGTATTTATTACATCTTGAGTTACTTGAAGAGCCATCAACCATCATTACCTTCCTCCTTTCCTGCAGAATGGAGAACACTGGGTAAGCAGAAGATCCATCAATTAAAATAAATATGTTTTCTTCCAGTTATTTAGAAGATATCTTTTGCAAATGAAAGCATGTGTTTACCAGGCTCTCTTTTTTGAGAGTCAGTTGTGGTAATTGCTCTCCTCTTGTGCAAACAACTGTGTATCTTTCACTCCAAATCCCTTATAATTCTTAAATTAAGATGCCATTCAGGCAAGTGTTCCTCCTAAGTAAAACTGAACATTCTGAAACTATTCTGTTCTGATGGTGCCAATTTATATTTTTGTTTAGGAAAGAAGTGTTCTAACAGCAGAGAATGAAGCGCTCAAACTACGCCTTAAACAAGCTCATAAGAAGATTGAATTCCTCAGCATTCAACGAAATCACATATTGGACAGTAGGGAACATGGAGATTGCTTGTAGCTAACAAGAAGGACATTGTTCTGTGGAAAAGGGTAAAGCAAATGGGCTTTTTGAGTGTATTTAAGTTATGCATTGAAGTGTATGTAGTGTGGCAGGATTTTAAACTAAGGCTAGATAGTCTTGTTTTGACTTCTATTCATACTTCTGGATATATGCATTTTTGCTATCAGTTGAAACTAGTTTGCCTTCTATTTGGCTGAAATTACATCATTTGGAATTCTTGTTATTTAGAGCAAAGAACACACCTGTTACCAAAGTAACCAAACTGTATTCTCAAATAGGAATGTGTACCTTGGGCTAATTTTGGCAATGCAAACTTGAAAACTGGCATGATTTTTATCTGAACTTTACAAATGTTGCTGCTTGAATGGGCATATGAATCAAATTTTGAGATGGTTGATCTCTTTCTCCAAGGATGCCAATTTCAGATTGACAATTCCAAAAGCCTCCTCTTGAAAAGGTATCTGCAGAGTATCAGCAAAAAAAGATAAAGATGCTGGCCCCAAAGGTGTGATCAAAGTTCCTCCTGTTTTTTATGTACATTGCACACACACAAACGAAATAGGCAGAGCTTTGATTGCAGTGTCATGACCTTGCTCTTGACCTTTTTGACAACACCCTGCAGTCACTCCTGTGTGTTTGGCTGCAAAATGGTTTTCAACCTGTGCTCTGATGCTGGACTCTAAACAAAGGCAAATTGAGATATTTCACTGGCATTCCAGTGGATATGGATTTGCAGGATTCAGTTTTAAAAAATACCTTCAAAAATACCCCCAGAGACAGGCTCCTGGTGCTAATTTATTTATCTGATTTCTATAGCTGCCCATCTCAGCAAGTGATTCTGGGCAGCAAACAATTGTAAAAACGTAAAACAATTAAAAACAGTTAACAGCCAATATAAAATAAATATGTATGGTCACCAAATAAAATTATCACCATAAATGTCAATATAGCCAGGACCCCAGGCCCAGGCACATAACCAGGGTCTTCAAGGCCTTATGAAAGGCCAACAGAGTTCGGATTATCCTCATCTCTGAAGGGAAAATGTTCCCTTTTAATGGTGTTGATTTAGTTTCCGTTGCAGTCAGTAGACCAGATCTTCCTTTTGCTTGTAAATCTTCGGCCATTTGAGGCTTTCATAGAATGGTTTTTAATGAGATAGAGAAGGAATGGACAAGTTTATCAGCCTTAATCATAACTGTGCCATATGGAGCATTTCCTGCTTGACAGTAAAGCCAATGCTGGTCAGTTTTGGCCCATTTTGGACCATATGTCACAAGCATAACCAAGCTATAATACTGTTGCTTGAGTTTCACTAGCTGGGAGGTACATGCAGTGTATTGGTACAGTTAGGATACAAAACGAGCAAAGTGAGAAAGAACAACGTGTGAATTTGATGTACTGTATATAAATATGGTAGAAGTCAGGATGGTTTGCAAGAATAGAAAGGAATGGAGAGGTATAGAGAATCATGTTGGTGTAAACTAGATTTAGTTGGATTTCTTTTATCTTTTCATCCACCACTTCTAACTCGTTTGCTGTACTTTGCAAAACATCCAGCTTGCCCTGAAAAGGAATAGCATGTTGGGTATATATATATTTATTTATGCTTATAAATCTAATGTTCATTTGATTCTCTCACAGTGAAAGCTGTTACACTTATGTTCCAACTATTGTGGAAAAAAAATACTCTCTCACTTGCCAAATCCAGTGTGTAGGACTGGCTGGGGTGGAATGGAGGTGGTGGGGGAGGGCAGAATGACTACACGAGCACTGTGTACATTCCGATGCTACCTGTACTATTTTGTATATGTAATGGGACGTTGCACACACAGATATATCTGTAAGTGGGAATATACCATTCAGACTTGCAATATTGATGTCAGCCTTGCAAGGTCCAGACACCCAGATGAACTAATTCTACTTTATTGCAAGGTTACATTAACAGAATCTTGCAAGTCTGAAAGTACATTTCTCCCCCCGTTGCCTTTACATCCCAAGAAACTAGGGAGGGTCCCTTCTAAGACGTTTGCCACGCCCACATTCCTGCTGTGGGCTAAGCTGCCTCTTATCCGACCGTTCCCCTGGCTGTGGCTCTTCCCCATCTCCCAAGGTCATTCCCACATACTATTACAGTAACAAATAGAACCTGAGTTGCAACATCACAACACTCATTTTGTGATTCTAACAAAATGGCAAGATTCTGAGGACGCCTCTGATGGCTATTCTGCTACCTCCCCCAGATTATTGTTCTAAATTATGGCACAGGAAGCAAATGAATCTCACAAGTCCCTCCCTGCAGCAATAAAAAATAAAACAGTAATAAATTAAATAGCTAATTATTTGTTGCTCTTTACTGACGCTGAATATCTACTGCTTGAACCAGCTGCCTAGCCTAGCTCCAATATTAGAGCAGGCTTTGCCAGCATGCCTAGAGTTTTAGGGTGATAATAGCATATAAAAGCCCTAGAATGTGCTTCAGGTAGAGTAATGTTCACAAATCTGAAGGCTGACATGTACATACTTTTCTTTGCACAGTTTAGATAAATCTGTGGCAGACACTGGAGTGTTGAAGCCAGAATTTGGAATCTAAATTCAAATTGAGACTTCAATAACTAGATGTCCTTGGTTCCTAACTCTGAGACCAACTCTTACTTCATATGATAGCTGTAAGGCTAAAACCATATTTTAGGGAGGATGCAGGATTAAAAGTAATAATTTAAAAGTTGGATTCTTGCCATTCAAAAAGGTAAGTCCTCTCTCTTTCTTTCTGTGTGTCTATACAGATAGACCTTGACCTACTACCATTTGGTCAGTTACCATTCCAAGTCAGGGTAGCACTGAATGAATGGTGATTACTGCCAGTCCTTGGCATTTTGGCCATTCCAGCACCCCCGCAGTCACATGATCGTGATCTGGGTGCTTGGCAACCTATTTGCACTTACGACTGGTTGCCAAGCATCCCATGATCACATGATCACCATTTGCAACCTTCCCTACTGGCTCCACCAGAAAGTCAGTGGGGAAGCTGGCAGGGAAGATCACAAGTTGCAGGGGTAAGTCTCCCCCACCTGCACACCCACCCCCAGCCCCTCTGCACGTGTGCCATGCCGACCACTTGCATACCTCTGTGCACCTTCCCCAACTCACACTGCACCCTCACACACCCTCCCCAACCTGTGCAGCATCTCTCACGTATCCCCTCACACTCTCCCTGACCTGTGTGGTGCCTCTCGCACAACCTCCCCGACCTGCGTGGCACTACTTTCCCACCCCCTTGCACCATCGTGCACCCTCCCTGACCTGCATAACTCTCCTGCACCCTTGTGCAGCCTTGCCAATCCACACAGCTCTTCTTGCGCACCCCCTTGCACCCTCCCCATGCCATGTCTCTCACACACGCTCCCTGACCCTCCCCCGCATCCTGTGTACCCCCTTGCTCCCTCCCCCACCCGACAGCAGCCACTTACTTGCCTGCAGGCCTGGGACTTGCAACTTCCTGCTGGCTTCCCCACGGATTGTGGTTGTGGGAAGCCGGCGGAAAGTTGCCTCACCCAATGACTGAGGGACTGCCATTGCTAAGGTATGCGGTTGTGCTTATGAGTGTATTGCTTAGCAATGGAAATTCCAATCCCAATTGCTGTTGTAAGTTGAGGACTACCTGTATATATTATCAAAAAAGATGCTAAAAGCCACTTTCATGTTCCATGTCTAAAATTTTTTTTTAATAGTAATTTTTTAAAAAATTACAATTGCAACAATAGAACTAATATAAACTAATAAAACTAAAATAAGAAAAAATAGAAGGTGCAGAACAAAAAAAAGAATAGAAAGAAAAATAGAAAAGAAAAAAATTAATATAGTAAAGGAAAAGAACAGAAATATATAAAGAAGTGACTTCCCTCTTCATTACAAGTATAAACAATTTTAGTACCTTTTCACCTTCTCTTAAAATACAGCAAATGATCTCTTCTTCCCATATCCTATCCCATATCTATGAACAAATCCATAAAACCTCATCATTTCTGTCCTGATGTCAGCAAAAGCCCACTAAGGGTTACCAGAAATAACAATTAAACCTATTTTAACCTTGATCAAATAAACTTAGATTCTTTCCTTTAACTTCTAACAATCTTGATCTTTAGTTCCTTCAAATAATGTCCTAGAACTTGATTTCTTTTAATTTTTTCTTTGTCCCTTCTTACAAAATTCTTCAAAGCTTTAGTAAGCCTCTTTTGTAAATCCAATATTGGAAATTATCCAGGTCACACTCTTGCTTTGTTATTTGTATATCCCTTTTAATTATTAAGACATCAACCAGTTTCTTTTGTATAGTCAGGGTAACATCTTTTTCCATGTCATACTTGTAGCTTGTCATTTTTAAATCCACTTTCAAATCAGTCTCAATCTTGTCAAGTAAAATTGGTTTCTCTTCCATAACATCTTTTAAACACAATCTATCTATAGAGTAAGATACTCTTAAAATTAACTTCTGGGTCCATATTCAAAAATCCTTCAATACGTCCAATGTTAAAATATTTTGCTCCATTCTGTATTTGTAAGTTGAATTTAAATGTTCTTCTTTAATTGTAATTCTTTTAGTTCCGTCTAGTGTCCAATTTTTAAAGTCATGTCTTATTTTATTTTTTTTTAGAATTCAAAACAAAAGCATTTTCCCATGGGAATGATTCTTATAATTAATTCCCAAATCTTATTTCAAATCCATCTGGACCCTTAGTCTGTTTGTAACTTTCTAAAATCAAAGTTTTAATCACCCTTTTGCTGTTTATTCTCCCCCCCAAATTTTTTAAGTCCTTAAACTTATATTTAAAACTTCTTTTGCTAAGGACTGAAAGAAACTCACCTGGTGCTGTAAAACTTGTCAATCTAAAGGTTCTTAATAGCTGAAAAGCAGTTAACAAGCAATTTCTGAAAGTGATTAGAAAAGGAAGTTTGTGAACCCAGTGTCCTTTTAAAGGCACCAACCTTGGTTTCAGCAAGGTGTCTATTTTCTCATCTCCTAGAGCTCTAAACCCACTGGAGACCGCTGTCTTGTGGTCTCCTTGTGTGGAGAAAATGTTGGAGTACTTGTAGGCAATCTCAAGTCCTCTCCTTGTCTGGAGAGGAATGACAAAGAGCCAGTTTACTTGCTGGCTGTTCCTTCTGCCATGGTTGTCTGCTCTGCTTTTTGCAGAGCCGTCCGGAAATGTCTAAATAATACACTATAAAATATTGTGTGACAAACTGTTGACTTTCATGTAGCTTGTGTTATATTTATTTACAGACTTATTTTAAGGCTCTGGTTCCAGACAAATGTAATATATTTTTACAACAATGATGTATTATTTCCCCAGTTATAATGGTATTTGTATATATATTTACTTTTTTTTTTTTGAGTAATGTCATGTTAATATTATATTTGTAAACTTTCTTGTAAGGCTCAGTTTAATCTGTTTGTTAGATTCTTTAAATAAGCAGCTTCTGTAATTTAAATACTTTTCAGAAAATGTCTCCAATTCTTAATGTTAGATAAGTCTGATTATTTAATGTAAATTCTTGTATAATATTAAAAATGATCAATGCATGTTTTTTTAAGGCCAAACTGAAAACTAGAAGTTATACACTAAATGTGAACTGCAGAAATGAAAATTCACTTCACTGCACTGGAGTGTCTGTCTTCTTTCCTGATGTTTGCCTACTTTCAGCAGTCATGTATACGCAAGCATAAGAAGATACCTCTTTAAGGGGGTGCTGACAGGTGTGATGTTTATGTCTGTTCACATTCAATCACATTTTTCCCCTCCTAGCCCACATGTTTATGAATGTGTTTGTATATGTGTATGTACACACACACACACTTACAGATATTCACACAGAACATGCTTCATACACAAAGCTTGCTGTGATTCTGTTATATGATGAGAAATGAGTTTAGTTTTATTTGCATCCTGCAAGGAAGCAATTAATATAGATGGAAAGATGGACTGATAACATTTACTTGTAATTTTATATTTCCCAGAACGAGTTTTTATACGATTAAGTAGTGCTTCTCACCTTAGACAGTCACGGGTGGAAGTGCATTTTTCTAGTTATAAGTAACATATTAGAATTCTGTACCTGGAAGGGGCCTTTTGAGCGACTGAATCCAACCCTCTGATGAATGTATGAATCCAAATTAAAAGTTGGCTTGTCTGGTTTCTGTTTGAACATATCCAGTGCTCCACACCTATCTAAGTAATTGGTTCCATTGTCAAGCTGCTCTTACAGTTGGGAAATTCTCTCTACCCTTTAGTAGGAATGTACCTACTATAGCTTGAGAGTATTATTCTTGTGCCTTGCACTCTACAAGGTAGAACAGGTTTTAACATTCTATATAACATCCACTATTATTCATATTCCTCCTCAGACATCTTTTAAGGCTAAACATTCCCAGATCCCTCTGCTCAAAGGTTCACCTTCCAGTTCACTGATCAACCTCTTTGCCCTTTTGTTCTTTCACCTGTTGTAGTTTTTCTAAATCTCATGACATCCAGTACACACTAGACGGCTACTGAAGTAGGGTCTTACAGATATGGAATTTAGTTTCCAAAACATGGAAGGAAATTGTTCCATTAAATTTATCGATGTTTAAAATCTCATGCACCTTTTTAAATAACCTTGTCTCACAGCACCTTGTAATCAATTACAATTTCAAAATTGCGCACTGACTCTGCCCAGAGAAATGCAACTCCATTGAGGATCAAAGGTGACACATCACTAGACCCTGGAGAGCGAAAAATTCAAAGCCACTCTGTATTGTCAGGGTTGAATTGGAGCCGGTTCCTCCCCATCCAGACCCTCCCAGCCTCCAGGCACTGGGTCAGCACCTCAGTGGCATCACCTGACTGGCTAGGGGTGGAGATGTATAGAGGTAGTCCACAATAGGGACAGAAAAATTTGTTAAGTGCCATGGTTGCTAAACAAGGCATCACATGACTGCAACCAATTTTACAATATTTTTTCTGGTGGCCGTTAAGTGAACCATGCAGTTGTTAAGTGAATCAGCACCATCAATTTTGCTTGTCGAAAGCCGGCTGGGAAGGTCCCAATGGTGATCATGTAACCCCAGAATGCTGCAACCATTGTAAATACATGCTGGTTGCCAAACACCTAAATTTTGATCACGTGACTGCAGGGACACTGTGATGGTCGTTAAGTGTGAGGACCAGTCATAAGTCACTTTTCAGCACTGTTGTAACTTCGAACAGTCACTAAACGAATGATCGAAAGTTGAGGACTACCTGTAACTAAGTATCATCAGCATACTGCCATTGAATGTCCTCACCCAGCAGTTTCATGTAGATATTAATGAAGAACAGTGTGGTCCAAGGATGGGCTCTTGAGAAGGGGGTGCACCACCACTCCCTTCAAGGCAGGCAATACCTCCCCCTCCCACAGAGAGGCATTCACACACTGTTTGGACCCAACCAAGGAGGCCTTGACCAGCTAGGAGGGGCATGGGTCCCAACTCCGTAAGATATCTAGCCAGCCTCTTCAAGGGAAATTGGAATATAGTTTAAAATTATGGGGAGCAAGTTCTGTGAAAATCAGTGGGATTTACTTCTGAGTAAATTCAGATTAAGCCTATTGCCGAGAGTTATTCATTTGCAGCTCCTCCCTCCAAGCTAATTATGTACAGTTGATAGAGAAATTTTGCTGCAGCTAACAGTGAAATTGTCACTGCCAATACGTATTTGCTACTGTTCAAGGCCATCACATTATACAGCAACTCTTCTGAACTTAAAACTGCAGTAAGACTTTTTTTTAGTGTACTTCACCTGCTATAAATAGAATTATTACAAAAACTAATTTAAAATGCACTGGCTCTGAATATGATAAATATAATTTTTTTAATATTAAAATTAAGTAAAATTAATGTGCTTGTAGAACTATATCTGGCTATTTTATTTTTGACATATTTTGTCAAGGTTTTCCCTAGCTCATCAGATCATTAAAAGAGGTGCCCCCATGTGGTGATGGCTAGTATTTTTATCACCCGGTTAAAGAAAATTAACCATTAGAAATGTGTGTGTGTCTTCTGAATACTAGCTATAAACATGCAAACACATTCAGAATAAAACTGGACATCTGGTGAATTCCAGCAGAAAGTTAGCTTCTCCAGTGTCATGGCTGTCATCTCCTCCATGACAAACAACTGATAAGAAGATGATTCTGGGGCCATGCCAAATATCTACTACTCTTTATGTCAACTCAAAACCTCTACTAGGTTTTGAATTGACATAGATATTTTTCTTTCTTTTTGTAACCAATGACTAAGAAAATAAATGATTACTTCTGCAAATTTTGCCCAATTCTGCCCAAGAAATGATTTGCTGATTTTCAGTGAGAGCCAATGGTAGGTATAGATTTTCAAGAGGTAAACAAAACATTTCAAACTCAAAACAACCATTTTACATTTGAATGTGGTCTAATCTTAATGGAAGTGTTCTGAAAATGCCCATTTCAAAATTCTATACCTATTTTAAGAAAACCTGTAACTTTTCAAATGCATTTGATCATAGATTACCACATATTTCCCTCCATACATTAGTCACCTTGATAAATGATAGCAGCAGAATGGGCATGTCTTCCAAAGTTAAATGTGTTTTTAGAGAAGTATGAAATACGTATAAATAGCAAAAGGATCTGAGCATTTTTAACAAAACTAAATGAAAGATATTTTGAAGAAATAAACTTCTATTACATTTCTATTAAATGTGCAAAACAGCTATAGTAACTTTACCATATTTTATTTCTCAGTGTTCACAACTGTAAACAATCTATTACTTAAACCATTCTCTAGATAGCCATTAAAAGGTAATTTTTTTTTCAAAAGATGCTCCATTTATATGAACAGAAACACAAAATTGGATAACTGTTAATACAAACTATTTATATAAGAACTTCAAGTTCTACAAAATACACTATTCAGATTTAAACATATAAAACGTATTGAATGTTTATTGCATTGTTAGAGGTTGTCAAAACTACAGGTATACAATTACCAGTAATTGTGAATCCTTAACTTAGTTTGAAAGGTTTTCTGATTTGGGAAGGTCAGGAAATGTTAAACAATTATATTTTTAACAGGTTAAAAATAATCAGTCTCTCTTCACTTTTGGCTCAGGAGAAGAATATGTTTTGCTTTTCATTTTTGATCAGTTAAAACAAAACCCTCTATACTATATAACTGCTTGAATAATACCTTAGCATACATAATCTGAACCTGAGACCTAAAGAACAACCTAAGAGGCAGAACTGTAAGAGAGATGGCAGTCAACTGAGATCAGGAACAATTGAACTGAATACTCACTCCATTAATCAGCTTAGTCAAAAGATTTCTCTTTCTGCTCAGCTGTATACTTCAACAGGCAAATGTAATTTTAGTTGGCCAAATCAAGAACTACAGAAAATACATACTTTTGGTCAAGCAAACCTGCACTGGCCTTTCTCTTGGAAAAATCCAGGTAGAGATGGGAAAGAGAATACATCCTATGAAACTGCTGTTTAAATATTCTGTGTGCCTTCAGGCACCCACCATAATATTATCTCCTGATCATTCCCATCAGAAAACCAGTATTGACTGACTGCATCTCCTAGTAGGCTATGTTGATTGAAGGTGCCTTGCGTACCTTTACTAAGCTAAATCCAATGCTTCCTCTTTGTATGCTTGGAATTTTCCCAACAGAAGGGCTGGACGAGGTAAATGCACAATTTTCAATTTCAGGGCCATGTCTCTTTCAGCAGACTTATTAAAAATCCAGAAGAGCAATAATGTAAAACAAACAAACTAAAAAACTGAACTAAAATAATCAGAGACACTTCACACACACTTTTTAGAGAGACATTGGTTCTGTACAGAAAATACCACATACTCTCTATGTTTAGCATCAAATGTGAAAAGCTTGTACTTAACTATTTTGTTGCATATTTGCAACACAAAGATTTTCCATCAGTCATTGCTTCCATTCATGTATATATCCCCACTAATGACAATTGCGCAGGTACGTACACTTGCGTGAATAGAAGTCATGTCTGTAGTGAAAATTAATTTTGTATAAGGTGGTTTTGAATGAATGGAACAACAGTAATTCATCAGTAAGGATGATCAATGCAGTTCAAGCATCATGCTGCCAATCAGCTATAATGTATTCTGAGTCCCTACTTTCAAGGTATGTGCATGTCAGTCAACATTATTAAAGATGTTAATATCTCCTGTAGCCACCTCCCCTTCTACCAAATGACTCCCCATATCCTCCTCTCCCACTATAATCACCCCTCCCTTGAAATCCACCCCCTCCCCTCCAGCCACCACTACCCCCTCCTCTACCACTCCCACCCCATCCACCCTCTCCACCCCACCCACCACTTCCTCTATTTCCTCCACCTCTTCCTCCTCTACCATCTCCTCCCCAACCTCCCCTGCCTCCTCTACCACCACTATCCTGTCTCTTCTGCCATGGGGGCATTTCAGGAGGTGGTGGATCAATTTCTGTTGGTCTGCCGCCACGATCTGGTACTCTTCCCATCAAGACCTGTTCAAAAACATACATAGCCCAGTAAGACCATATTTCCCTTTGACTTCAGAATATCAAATTATTGAGAGAGAGAGAGAAAGTGTAGTTATGTATGCATGTCTGTGGTTCAAACCACCAGGTTTTCATCCATCAATGTATTACTCTAAAAGAGTGTAAGTTATAATCTATAATTGAATAGTCAATTATGAAAAATGACATACAAATAAAAGCAGTTAATAAACTTCTTAGATCCCAAATGGCACTGGGTACAAAATACAAAGCTAATCTGTATTAACTGTACATTACTGAAAGTTGATTCACTGAAAGCAGTAAGTCAATTCACTGAATAACTTGTTATCTCATGCTGTGAGGACCAGGATTTCACCATCTCTCCCATTAAGGTATTGTATCCATCCCAAGTATCTCTGAAGCTTGCAAATATCAGGGTATTCATTATTATAGGGTAAATGCCCTAACAAGTTTCCAGCTGAAAACCATTTGTCTCTCATCGTATCACACTGCATTGTGAAGGTGATGTGATACAATGGCCATAGTAGGGGAAAAAGATATTCCATTTTAAAAGACTATGACACAACATTGTGTTATGAGAGATCTGCTTCATCTTCAAATAAAAAACATTAGTGATAAGCACTGATTCTAAATACACAGTGCTAAGATTCTTTGCACAAACAAGTGTTTCCTTGAAGTTTAGCATCCTGCTTGTGTTTTACAATCTATGAATAGTTTTCTGCAGATTTTATTTCCTTCATGTTAGCAAAGACACAATCTTCTGTCAATTCTCAAATCAACCCTACAAAATTTTACACTTCTAACTTGAATTAAAGGTCCAGTGAAAATAACCCATCTCCCAAGAGGTATTTCTGCCAACTTCAAGAACATTTTTCACTGAACACACTGTGGCTCAAGTACAAAACCGGTCAGGAAACCAAGCAGAGCCACAGTAGGAATTTTAGTAGACATATTTAGTAACTAGAAGAGCTTACAAAGGTCTGACAGATGATGAAAGCATATATGCCTTTGCCAGTTTTCCAGGTGCTGCCACAACTGACTGCCAAAATGCAGAAAAACGGGACTCATACCTCACATACTTTCTCAGAATAACTTACCTCATTGGATTGCCATGAAAATTATCAGAAATATTAACATTTCAGAGAACTAGCACAAATTCTTAATGGTTCAGTAATATAAGAAATCTATAACTGCTGCATTAATGAAAAGCATACCTTATTGATTGCGCAAACAGTCTTTTCCCGTGTAGATCCACTGCTTGTTCTTATTATCTTTGACAAATCTTCACGAGCAGCTAGAAGATGAGCTATTGAAATTGTTGATTTAAAAGTGAGTCCGTAACGTTTGGGTTGGTAAATCCTTGCAATATCGTCTGTTTTCACCTAAAAAAAATTGGATAGACATATTTTATATTTTACAGAAACTATCACAAAGTAGAGTGACAAATTAGGAAGTCTAACTTTACTGCACTATGTAGCTATGTCATATATACTGTTAAGTTTCTGTTTTGCAGTTTAGTTTCAAGTAAATTCCTAATAACAAAGGAAAAGCTGCTGAAAGGCTTGGGAATAACACTTGATTGTTTAAACAATGTCATCACACGGTTAAGATGGGGCTAGATAAAGTAGATTGTACAGTCAATGAGAACCCTTATGTTTTTGTTGCTTTAATAAAATAAAAAAACTTATATTCAACTGATGTCATAGCTTTCCTCTTCAGATGCCAGAGCTCATGCAGAATTCACTTTTATCAAAATCAAGATTATATATGTAGGATCTTAATTGAATATGCATCTTTGAATTAATATTCAATATTTTGAATATTCATTCAAAATTAATATTCAATAACATTTTCAAAGCGTACATTAAATTTTTTCAGGAAAAAAACTTTATCGCTACAATATAAATACACACACACACAATGTAAAGACACACTCAAGTCAAGCAAGGTTATGCTGACTACAGGGACATATCCATGAAATTTCACTACTGTAACACAGAAGCGTTTTGCCATTTCTTCTTCCAGAATGATTTTCAACTACTGAGTGAAGCTTACAGCACTGTTGCTCCTCAATGGTGTCCCAACTAAGGCCTGACCCTTTATAGCTTCCAAGCCTAGACCAATTTGGCCAAGTGCTACACCTGCTGAAATGTAAATGAGTAAAAGAGATACAAACAGCTGGAATTTTCTTTCTTCTGTATAACAGAAAAACTCTTAACTTTACACCTTCCACACCAGCACTCTCATCAATCAACAAGAAGTAAGCAATAGAATATACTCACCTTAGCCCTATCAGACCACCCAAAGGACTGTACAGTTACATCTAAACGCTTCATTAACATCCGCCTGCGGCATTCATATTCAGTGAGAAGAGCCTCGTTTATTTTTTCCAGCTGCTTCTACAGCAAATAGAAATCACTTAAAGTAATCATTTTGTAAAAGTTACTTATGTTTAAATCCAACAATGGAAGATCTGAATCACCAGATTGGGGACAGATCATCATTGAGAAAATCTGTCTATGTGGTTGCTAAGAGTTGACACCAACTTGGTGGCACAATTAATCAAATCCAACATCAATAAATACAAATTCCTATATTCACATTTGATCCAAATAAATGCAGAGAAACAAAATGTAGTATATAATATAACCAAGCATTAATTTGTATGCCCACTAAATATGTAAGTTAAAGAAAAAGGGTATTACCATTTGGTTTGTATTCAAAGGAGTTTTTAGCAGAGGTTTCTCCATGTATGCATTTGGAATTTTTGACAAAACATCTTTGAGCTGAAAAAAGTAGAACAGACATCTCTTAAACATTATGACTTCCAAAATGAATCTCCTATATATCTAGGCAATTACATTACAGCATGAAGCACCCATCAGCAGAAATTACAATTATCTTAAATGATCTTACTGCAGCCAATACCCTGATTTGTACATGCAGGCAAGATGCTTTCTATCTCTGTTTCTCCCACCATTTCCCAAGAATGGGGAAATTACATGGAATAATATATAGCTGGCTCACCCAAAGAGCTCTGCGCTTTCTTTCTTTGTTGCATGTTAAATGCCACTCCCTTATGCACCTTCTCTGGGTTCCTCTACCAAATGAAGTTAGGTAGATAGCTACAAAGCCTTCTTAGCTGTAGGATCCTGCTTATGGAATGCCCTTCCAATGTTATATGCCTGTGGAGTCCTTATGTGCCTGGCACCCATGTGAACGCCAGACCACAACCTTCTTCTTTTTCTAGTTTTATAGGTTTGTAGTTAATATGATTTTAGTTCCAATGTAAGAGAATATATGTATCTTGGGTTGAACTGTAAAGTTCTTGGTGCTCTCTGAGCTTGGTTGTTTGCTTATAGACATTTTATTACCCAAATAGGTAACATCATCAGTGCAAGTGAGTGTGGGATTTGCTGCTTGTTTATATATAGTAGCTTGCCCTGCCAGCTTTGGTGGGGAGTATTTTCCTCCTTGGTGGTTCCTTGATTAGAGTATTGTTTTCTATTTTCTTCACAATAGACTGAAACTAGTTATACATCATTCAAATATATAAAATATACTATACCTTTGACTCGATATTGTTTAATAAGACAGGGAGAGGGTAAAAGTCAGAAGATGCTGATGACTTTGGTACCCCTAAAACATCACAGATCATCTGGATTTCTTGATGGACTTCATCATTCTTTGCCAAACAAGAACCTTTACATTGTTTAAACTGTAGTATCTGCAAAGCCTGAAGTTCTGTGCTTAAAAATACTATAAAATGAGAAAGGAAAAGGAATAGGTAAAAACTTGGTGTTACTGTTTCAGCAAAAAAATATAAAATAAAATAAGGCATAAAGCAAATAAAAAGTAGATTAAAAGTAAAGTTAATTTTGTAACAGAGCAATCCACTTTTTCCTTTAGAGAGAAAATATTAATGAATTAATACTTGGTTAATGTGAACCAGGCTGTGCAACAGCAAATTCTTGCCAACAGAGGAATTCAGCAGTAGTAATGAACATACGACTAATAAAATACTAATGACATGGTAGGCAGACTTCCTACTTGCAGGACCATCTCTCCCTGGTTGTTTCTGCCCATCCTATCTAGTCCGGTAGGATGGGTGTGTTCTGGGTATTAGTGGCTAAGGAATTTTGGCTGGTGGGGTCCATAAGACAAGCCTTTTCTGATGTAGTGCCTGCTCTCCAGAGATCAGATTGGCCCCAACCCTGCTGGCCTTTCAAAAAGACCTGGTTCTGGGCTCAGGTCTGGGATCCCAAGAATATGAAGGGTTCCATCTCCTGGTTATACTAACCATTGCTGTTTTCTGAGCTGCTATGAATTTTAATGTTTGTAAATGTTTTTATTTTTTTAATAACGTTAGGTGCCCAGAGCAGTTTGTTGAGATGGGTGGCCATATAAATTGATTAAATAAAGAAATAAAAATCCTATCTCCTGCCTGACATTTCTTTAGTCTGAATGTTTTGGTGTCAAATCTTCTATGAAGCAACTTTCAGAAAAAGTGGACTTCTTCCTTTTCTGGAAAATTTCAGGAAACAAAACAAGCAGATGTAATATTGCAACAAGGAACATCTACTAACTTACACAGGACTTTAAGACAATCTTCTTTCTTTTTTAATCGGTCTTTAATTTCTCCAGATATAAGTGTGGAATATGGACAAGCCAGTTCTTTTAAAAAGCCACTCATCTCAAGCTGTAAACTTTCAACATCTTCACCACCTTAAAAAAAATCAAGAGAAAAACAGATATCTTCAAATCTATTTCCATTTTAGGTATTATTGTAAAAAAACCAGATTCAGTAGCCATTTAAAGACTTTGAGCTAGCTGGGTTAAGGTTCATTCAGTAACTATGGTCCTTTTGATAGTAATGTATTATTTGCTTTATTTGCGATGGAGTGCATGAAAATACAACGTGTGTGTTTGTGTATATCCTATTAGTATGCATTAAAACTTCATCCTCTGGAAGTCAATCCACAAAAAGTATGTAAATTATATTAATCTTAAGTAATTACGTTTATACTGGCTTGTAGTACAGACAAATAAACAAAATAGATACAATTTGAACTTAATTTAGTCAGGTCCTTTTGTCTCTTAGAGCAACAAAGAGAAAGTCCTGTAATTAAATTTATGGACCAGATCTAAAAATACTGTGAATAGTTCTAGTCACAAACCATACACCATAAAAAGAGCTGAAAAGTTAGAAGCACACAAGGGCATTTCTAGAGAACATCAATAAAAATCAACATGTAAACAAGTATAAACTGTATTTGCATAATACAGAGTTCCAGTGAAAAGCATAACCTCTTTTGGAACTGACAGTTATTTGGGGGAAATTACTCATCCACTTCCCTGCTTAACTTTACTGTTTGGCATAACAAGGAAATAATCAACTAGTGATCCTTCTCTCTGTGTACTTGAAATGTTAAAAACTGAACTGACAAAAAATATCTACAGATGTCAGCAGTTCTCTACAAAAGGCCATCATCTCTCTACTTGGTATTCTCATTAACTGGATACACACTGCCTGTTCAACCACAATGATGTTTCTTTGAGCATATCATAATGCATAACTGGAGTCACATTGTGATATTAGTGGAATAAATCATGGTTTGTTTTTAGTTCACTAAATCAGCTTGAAACTGGTTTGCAGTTGACTTACTGATTGCAACTACAACTTAGCAAGATATAAAAACAGGAATGTATTGTTGGATCATGGGTTCCTGGCTTATTGCCTATTTGTTTATGTGACCAACTAAAGTTGCTAACTAATCTACAGATCAGTACAATGTAAAAGCAACAATAAAAAGAGGAGCACACCTAGAATTGTACAAGTAAGCCATCATTATTTTGTTTGCAAGACCAAATGGGTTGCTCGACAATTCAGTTAAAATTGACAATGGCTTTAACATGTTGTGTGAACATAACTGTATTACTCATCTAGCCTGACTCAAAAACTCACCTTATCATCTGAAATACACTTTTATAAATTCACACTGCTCCACAAGCTTATCTTTTAACTATGAGAGAAGCAGTTTGCACTTGTTCTGCAACAAGTATCAATCACCCAACTTTCTTTTCTCCTGGAAAATTCTGCTTGCTTCTCTGTGAAAAAGAGAAGCAATTTTGTCACAAAAGACCTAATAATTTTTTTCATTACTGTATGTACATTTTTACAGAAATTCAGTTCTAGTTCAGGTTCACACAGCAATGATTTTACTTCCAACTGAAAATAGGAAAAACCCTCAGAATTGTCAAATTGGAGGTGTCATATTAACGGTAAAACTGAATGTCAAAAATTATCCCAAAAGCTTCCATTGCAATATTATTTTAAAAAATGGAAATAAGTATAATGAAATTGTAACAGATTAATTACAATTTAGGACTCTTTCTTTCTCATACACATACTTCCAACAGTTTCAAATAAAAATCAGGTAAGAAATACCAGCTGTTGAGGAGATGCTTTCTTCCAGGTTACACAACGGCTGTATTCTGGAGCTTAACCAAACACAAAGCTCACAGAAATCTTGGGAAGCCAGTCCACATTCTGCTGCTTTATTAAGAGCATCCTCATCCAGAAGAGGGCCTTTATATCTAGAGAGAAAAATACAACATTCAAAACACATAACTCAAAAATACAAAAAAAATTAAAATTAATTATTAAAAATAGGGAAAAGTTTCAGAACAGACTGTGTTCAGTCATTCATAAAGAAGCACTGAAAAAACAAAGACAATCCCAGTTACTTGAGATGCTCTAGTTACAAATGACCTTCGGAGCACACTTCTCCTCATACCTGGGAATTTTCCATAGTCTCCTCCTGCAGCTCTCAGATTGGCTGTCTAAAGTCTTCCAACCTCCACAATGAATCTGAGTCACATGCAGGAGGGAGGGAGAATTACATTACTGGGGCCCATTCTACGGATGAACTGTGCCTCATGGATGCAGAAACAGTGGCTGCAACTGAATGTATGTGAATTTCTGGTATCTAGGATGCACAGTCAGTCTGGTTCAAATAAGGACATCTCCTGGGCTATGCAGAAAGACAGGTTTAATACATTCCCTCAAATTCCTGCCATCAAGCAATCCCACCCAATGCCTCCATTCTTTCCTGGTCTCTTCTGCTGTTAACTAAGCACCTACCCCTGCTTCTTTATAAATCCTGCAGGAAGAAGGGCTGATTCCCCTTGAATACTGCTGCCAGGGAGAATTTTTCACATAGCTTGGTTGGACGTGTCCCTACACACAGTTCCCGTTTCAGTAACCTATGAGCACAGAGGTTGAGTACTCTGTGTTTCAGTAATCTATGAGTATGTTTATGTACCAAAACATGCAAGTACATTTAAATATGCAAGTACAATTTTTGTCATATACAGAACTACCAATTTATCTTAGTCCCATTACCTGGCACCACTGCTTCACCCAGAAAGATAACCACATGTCCTACATTTACAGAAGACAAAAGGAATCCTCTATTTGAAGAACTGTTCAGTTCAAGTCTCATTTAAAGATAAAGAATTATAATGAGAGAATTATAAAGAATTATAAGAACAAGGACCCTTAATTTGTCCTCAACTGCCCTTGGACACTACACTAAATTGGCACACAGTCCACTGTGTCACAATGTTCTCCATATCTGTGTTTCTTTGTGGGATAAGTTTCCTACTTTTTTGTCACATGCTATGTTCACACTATACATTAATGCATGGTTAACTGAACCATAGTTTATTGAATTACTTGAGTTTGTACAATACACCATCACTTATTAACCATACTGGCTGGGTTACCAAACCATACTGAGCCACAAACTACTGCCTAGCATGTGATGCAAACACAGCCAATGTATATATGGCTATTAAAATTTTCCTCTTGGGATTGATCCCAAGATTGATTGACTGACCCAAGTTTGATCCAAGAGGAAAATTTTAATAGCCATAAATACATTGACTGTGTTTACATCACATGCTAGCCAGTAGTTTGTGGTTCAGTATGGTCTGGTAACCTACCCGGTTACAACTTCTCATAAGGGAATGATATAAATACAAGAAGCCTGAAGATGCTACCACCCTCATGTCTGCTAAAAGTAAAGTCTCTCATGACTTGAGCTTGAGTCCTGAAGACCACATGGACCAAATGCTGGGATTTATTATTTTTTTTAACCATCTGCAGCACTGGGATTTCTCATCCAGGTACTAATGAGATCCAATGCCAATTAACTTTTTCAAAATCAGCCAAGGTTTAAAATTTGAACTGTTTTCCTGCAAAGCATATTCTTCCTTCCTTGAAAAGAAAGTACAAGATACAATGCAGTACAATTAAATATGTTTATATTTATTCATTTTTATTTATTTGTGCCTTCAAATCAGTGTCGACTCCTGGTGACTACCTAGACTAGTCCCTGCAGTTTTCTTGGCAAGATTTTCAGAAGCGGTTTGCCATTGCCTTCTTCCTAGGGTAGAGAGAAAGTGACTGGCCCAAGATCATCCAACAAGCTTCATGCCTAAGTTAGGACTAGAATTCACAGTCTCCCAGTTTCTAGTGTAGTGCCTTAACCACTATACCAAACTGGGTCTCTTATTGTGTATTACAATGCACATTATTTGGAAGATACTGAACTGAAACCAACATGACTTTCTTCCAAGTAAACATCCTTAGAATCAGGCTGCCAACTATCAATCAATCAATCAATCAATCAATCTACAATCTTTTAAACTAATTATTTCCCACAAGAATCTAATCCACATATGTTATTCTTTTAAAATGCCTGATTCTGTCCATACTTCAGCAATTTAGATCAGGTAGCCAAATGCAAATATTAGCATTTGAGCAGGCAAATTGCTCATGTTCAGAGGCAATATAAAAATTAGGACTCAATCAAGCCTGTAAGAGCAACTAGAGAAAAATTAAACTCTGTGCATCAATGAAGAGGATGAATTGAATATATAGTAGAAGAACATTTATCCCTGGGATAACTACAACGAATTTTGAGAATATTTCTCCACCAGTCTCTGATTCGCAGAGATAGGGAGAGCTGTCCGCATCTGACTTGGGCTCGCGCACAGTAGACGCCTCCGACCAAGCTGTGGGAACAATCCCCCCGCGCAGAGGTGGGTGCAAGGGGAGCCCCGCGGGGTTTCAAATGAATCGCGAGGAGGCGCTTCGATTCGCCGGCGGGAGAACCGAGGCGATGAGCGGGAGACCTGGACGAAGGCGAGGACTTCAACCAGCCCGATCAAGCCTGCCTTTCTGCACCGCCCAGGAGGTCCTGAATGTGCAATCAACGTACGGCCTTTTTTCAGCCGGGAACCTTACCACCCTTGCCCCGAGCTTGAATGGCTCTCCTCCAACTCACCCTAAAGCTTCCAGCGCGTCCAGAATATCACACTCCATGTTCAGCTCTACGCCAGCGCTTTCATTCCCGGGGCTGCAGCAATCTCAGTCCCGCCTCCTCGTACAAAGAGCTCGGTGTTCCATTCAAACAAGCCCGTCGACCTCCGTGAGCCAGCCTTTTGGTTCCGGTATTTTAAATGCCACTCCGTGGATCGCGGCGGGCAGTCGTCGGAGGTTCTCGAGCGTTGTTCTGTTGGCTTGGCCCCTTTATACGACTTCCCCCAGGGAAGCTTGAGCACGCATGAAATTGCAGGGGCGCAAGGCTTCTCCTTTCCTTTACTGCCGCTCTTCTCAAAAGCCCAGAAGGTCGGTCTGCGTAACGCTCCGCGCGAGTATCAATCCCGCCGAGTTGGAAATCCGCCGTCCGTGAATCCGGGACGTTTCGCGCGAAAGAGCTTTTCCTAACACTCAAATCTTTCGCTTTCCACACGAGCCAACAGACAATGAAAGGACATCCCGGCTTACTCGCTTCACCCCCAAGGACAGCCTTTTATCAAGCGGTGACAATATCAAGGGGACCTCCCAGCCAGACTTCTCTTCGACGGACTTCAGCTCTCCGCCCGGCCGCTGGTGGGACTTGAAATCTGACTCCATGGAGGGCGCGATCCTGGCGAAGCTGCGAGTCCGCATCGTTGTGCTCGCTCGGAAAAGCGACGTACATTTTCGGGCTGGGCTGCGCTCGCCTACCCCCAACCTCGGCGGCGGCCAGGCCTCGTTTCGCTTCTGGGAGGCTGGAAAGGAGCACCGCGGAGGCGAGCCCTCGGCTTGCTTTGCTTTTCGGCCGCAGAACGCGCCTTCTGCTCTTCCGCGGCAAGGAGCGCGGAAGGATGTTTCCCAACCCGAACGTGAGAATATAACCCAGGATGAGTTGAGACATCCTGGATAAGGAAGAAAAGCCGTAATGATAACCTTGCCGTCGGACCTGAAACTTGGTGTGTTATGTTCGTGAGCAAGGGATGGAATAAATAGGACACAGAGGTCAGCATCGGACGCACGTCCAGTAAGATCAAAAGAGCCCGCTTTGAGCTCAAAACGGTCTAAATTCACAATGTTTTGCCGTGTTTATTGTAAACCATCTGTGAAACTCTTCTGTGTGAGATCATGGTAAGAAGGGAACAAAGAACAGAGGTGGGAAGCCAGTCCCAGCCCCAGCCCAGTTGTTGAATTACAAGTTCCAAGTACATTTCAACAGTGAAAAGAAATTTAAAAGTTTATTGGTGAAATTAAAAAAAAAAACAGCTATGACAAAATATACTAGTGATTATACAATATAAAAAGCACTATACATTATAGTAATTCAAATAAACCAAACGTAACAGTTTGGAGTATTGGTTAAGGCACTAGGCTAGAAACCGGGAGACTGAGTTCTAGTTCCACCTTAGGCATGAAGCCAGCTGGGTGACCTTGAGCCAGTCACTCTCTCTCAGCCCTAGGAAGGAGGCAATGGCAAACCACTTCGGAAATCTTACCAACAAAACTGCAGGGACTTGTCTAGGCAGTCTCCAGGAGTCAACACTGATTTGAAGACAAATCTAAACAAAACAAAAACATAACCGAAGAAATAAGATCCATGTTAACCCTTAAATTTAACATTACATCTAGACCAAATACAAACATACTGCTCCATCTTATTTTTATAAAATAAAGATATTTCAAAAATTGATAACAAACATGGAATCCATTCCTTAACATCAGGAATTGAATTCCCTTCATAAAATGATAGATTCAGTGTTTTAGGAATATAATTTAGCATCACATTTATATCTTTTTTACATTTCTTTCCAGAACTGTGTTCCCTTGCAGGGTTACTTGAAACCAAAACAGAGCAATAGCTAGATACTTCAACACTCACCTAACACTCTTCCCAATAATTACAGAAATTTAACATTCCCATTTTAGAAAAAGATTTTGGGGTGGGGGGGCGGGCTTTTAGGTACTTTTTAAACATTCTGGATCAAAACACTATTCTGAAAGCGTTCCAAGCTTTGGTAGCCCTGCTTCAAACTGAAAACTCATGTTTTGAGCTCAAATGAAGGCTGATGCTTCTGGAATGGTTGTAAGAGCATGGGAGCACTTCCTGTAAGGTTGAAACTTGATGGTTTCAAACTCAAGTATTTTGAAATGTTTCAAATTTCAACAATTCTGCATGTGATTACTGTGTTATATAATCTCCAGTTCCAAGTTTCTGGAAGTTGTTTTCTATACTTTCTCTGAAAGCTAACATCTCTGCACATTTGTGTATAGAAATTAATCCCAACTGTATATCCATTGAATACACTGTGTACTCTCACTGAAAGCAATATACCCTTTGATAGAACTTCTTATATATAAGCAATCTTTTAATACCCATGAACAGACATTACTTGAATGGCTTTAAAAGATGCTATGAAAATGTGCAGGTTACAAGGAAGGGTTAGGTATGTAAATTTTGCAAACAGTACTTGGTGTTATGTTATCCATTAAATTGTCACAGGAAAGTGGCATGTCACAAGATTGATTAATAGAAACAGTGATAATTGCATGTTTTTTCTTCTGAACTCTGATTAGTTTCACAGTTCTTGGAATGAAGACAGAACAACCTTTCTATTCTGCAAAATATTGATTCTCTTAAAAGTGTTCTTTTTTCTATTATTTACAGCATTCTATACCTTAATAATATGTGTGTAGTGATTAATTTGTTTATTGTATTTACTGAATGGAAAGAAATGATGAAATGGCTGGTTCTGAACGTTTATCCAGATCAAAGTAATTTTTTGTGTTAAGATAAAACTCTGCCACTGGAGGGCATCATATCTTTAGTTGTAAACTAAAAACATTTTTTTAAAACAATTTTAATTATTAGTTCAACCAAAACAATTACATTATTTTCAGTAGTCTGATTTAAAATCAATTTCATAACATTCATGCTAAAAGATAAAAGTGATTTTGAAAATGCCCTGTCATTTACTGTAAGCTAGAAATACAGATAAGCTAAAAATAATTACTTCTGAAATCAATATAGATAATCAGAAAAAGCTCTGGCATATACATTTAAACAAATTAGATTTTGAAAATAATTTTCTTATAATTACTTTATAGGATTTTTTTCTGAACTTTCCCCAAGTTTTTATCTTTACTGAGAATAAAATAAAGGAATACCTGCATCTTTATCTTTGTGAAGGTAAACATTCTGTGTAAGATGATTTTTAACAGGATGGGGGAAAACCCAGCAACAATCTCTCCCAACTTGCACCCTTCTGATGAATTAACTTGAAATATCTTAAACTAGAATGTCCCACTGACCTGAAGAAAGGGATAATGAAGACTGTAGCCCAACACATTTGAAGAATGCCAGATAGGGAAAGATATTATAAGGAAATGATTAAGAAGCCCTTCTGCCGCATTCCATCTTGAAACAGGCCTTCAAATCACTGTGTATGAAGTTATAAAAAAAAAGAGGTGATTTTTCAACCAGTCTTGTCTGCTCTATCTTGTGAGATGGAGTGCCTTGGCCGGAGTCTTTCTTCAAGGCCAGCAGTAAGCTGCATCAGAAGACAGATTAGGGGAACAACAAAGGAATGATAAATTTCAGAGGTATTATCTCTCAAACACATTTCCTTTTCAATTCTCTTAACTTGTAACAGCAGAGATGGAGCTGAGTGATTGGATTCAAAATCATATCAGGTATGTATATTATATGTAGACTTTGATGGCTATTGTAGGAAAATAGTAGATTCCAATTTTCTGGTAGGTCTGTGAGTGACTTGCATCAAATCAACAACATTTTTTTACTTTGCTTACAACAGCAGCAAATAAAACTCTCCTGCCATACAGATTAGTATAAGGCCCCAATTGAATCCCATATAGTTATGGGATTGTTATGGGATAGGTGTATATGTGTATGTGTGTGTATGTGTGTGTGTGTGTGTCGTATATATCTTTTGCCTCAAATAATTTTATGGCAGCTATAGCACTCCTCTGGGCCACTTGTGACGTTTGGGCCAGGTGCGGGACTCTATCTCCTGATGAATGAAAAATAACTCCCAAGTAGTTAAACCATTTGACCTGCTCCCTGTTATTGCCATTAATAAGCCAATTATGAATGTTAGGTCTTTTGTTAAAGGTCAGAATTTGGGGGGGTGGGAGTTGGTAATATATCATCAATTTTTCTTTTTCACAATATTGAGCAAGAGATCTAAGAGCTTTTGACATCTCTACGACAGACAGTGACAGAATAACCATGTTACTGGCATACAGGAGAACTGAAAAGTGTCTATCGGCTAGTTTTGGAGGGTGAGAGTTACCTTTACTGAGGTATTTTATAACTCAGTTTATGTAAATGTTAAAAAGTAATAGAGCAAGGATACATCTTTGTTTTACTCCTTGTGTTGTAATGGTTGACTTAGGTAAGTGTCCTTGGGGACCAATCTTACCCTCAGGTTGGTATTACTGTTCAACTTTATACATTAATAAAAGTAATTGTTTGTCTATGTTGGTAGACTGCATCTTTTTCCACAATAGTTCTCCTAATATGAAGTCACTTGATATGAAATCAAATGCAGATTTCAGTTCTACAAAAGCTGCATGAAGAGAACCTTGCAAGACAATTTCCTGCTGCTATTGCTAGTTTGAAACCCAGAAGAATTTTTTTATATAGCCATTTTTCTTTCTCTGAGCTACCTTCTTTTCCCTGGTTTTTTTTTTTTTTTTATAATAAGTCTGGCAGCACACTGCTTTATTGTGCAGTGGTGCACTGCTGGACTTCTAAAAAGCCCAGGGAAAAATAAGTATTTGTGCATTTTTAAAATTAGGGATTAATATGGAAATAGATTTGAATGGAAAATTATGAATGAAATTGTTCAAATCAGTCTGATTCAATGGATCTCTTGGCAGTTTTCCTGCTTCTCTACTCAACTATGTGGACAAGCTAGGAGTCATGATATTAATTTCAGACATTAAACTCTACTTATTTGTACATCATTACCATTACCTGTTGTGTTTTACGTTATTAAACCAAATATGACACTTGCATACTGCCAACTTCTAATACATGAATCATATAGACTTATATCTACCTACCTGGAAGAAAGTGCCACTGAATTGGATTTGGA